CCCTCTCTCTCTCTCTCTCTCTGCCCCATCTTTCTTTCATACGGCCACACGTCCTAGCCGATTCTCCTCCGACCTTCTCGAACCCCACCCACCACTATCCCTTTCTCGGTCCTTTTCGGTCCTTCTGTTATCTGGATCCCCCTGGACCCCGCACCCTACCCCATTCACTCTCTCACTCCTGCAAACCCCCCTTCCTACACCTTTCTCTCCTTTAGGCTGCTGGAAACCTCTTCTATAAACTTTTCAGGGCGTGTCTAGAACTCTCATTATCGTCTCCCAAGTCCCGTCCTCCCCCCCCCCACCTCCCAGCAAAACAGCACCGGGGCTGGGGGTGGGGTCCACTAGGAAGGGGTTGGGGAGTTAGAGCTGGAGCCCAGGAGAGGGGAGGATTGGCTTGCAGAAATTCTGAGAGTGGCCAAAGAGAGAGAAGGTGTTCTTACCTTCACGAACAGTTCGACCTGAGGTTGTTCTTCAGCCATGGTTGCGTCGGGGACCAGGAAGCAGCCGTCGCTGGGGGAACTGGGAGGGGCCCGGACAAGGGAAGGCGGGTCTCACGGCCCGGGATTCTCCTCCAGGCTCAGGGCTGTCCCTTCGGCGCACCCCGAGTCCGATCAGACCCTTTGGTTCGCTCCAACGCGGCTTCCCCACAGGCCCAGCGCACCCCACACACAGCTGCTCCACCTCGGTTCCTCCCGTTTAGCTCAGGGAGCAGCTGACTCACCGGCCGGCCCCGCCCTGGACCTGGGGAGGGGACACGAGGGGAGGGGACTCGGGGATCGTGGGAGTGGGTCCGGGACGGAGGCCAGAGGTCTCCCAGAGATAAGGTGTTAGGAGAGAACTCCGGGGACTCCCTCGGTTCCCCGACCTCTCCTACACACACCATGTTCGTGCCTCAGTTTCCTCGCTTCGTTAATGAGAAGGGTGGCCACTCTCAGACAGGGAAACTTGACACTAACGAGCTGCCCACGAGGGCGCAGAAAGGGAGTTTGAGGACGCAAGGGTTCTGTGTTTTGTTTTGTTTTTAGTTTTACAGTCAGTCTTCTGGTTTGCTGGGACTGTGCTCTGTGTGTGCGGAGGGGGATCGGGAAGGAGATAGTGAGCGAGGATTACAGATTGGTGAAGGGCGCTCCAAGGCACAGGCCGTGAGAGACCAGGAGGCCTGGTGTTGGGGAAACAGGAAGCTGAGCCCAGGCTTCATGGCAGGGGGCGGTCCTCTGGAAGCCTGTCAATGCTCGGACTTCCCCAGCCCGGGCCCCTTACCCTCCTCTCACTGGGGAAGGTTGCCTTGGAGACTTATCCTGGCTCTAGGATAGCGCTAAGGCTCATCCTGCGGTGGGTTGGGTAGCGACTGGTTCTGTCATGGGAAGACAAAAGCAAAGGTCAGACAGATTAGTGTGAGCAGAGTCGTGGGAGACATCTCAGTAAATAAATAAGAAGACAGGAAAAAGCTTTCCCTGGGAGGCTTGATTTTGGAGGTTCTATCTAACGTTAGTATAACGATATAACTTTACTACTTATTTTTTTTTCACTTCAGTAGCTTTTAATTACCCATCTACACAAACGACTTTAGATCAAGCACAGGCAAATAAAAATATGGAACGCTTCACGAATTTGCGCGACATCCTTGTGCAGGGGCCATGCTAATCACTGTATCGTTCCAATTTTAGTGTATGTGCTGCCGAAGCCGGCTCTACTACCTATTTAAAAAAATATGTCTGCCAGTATCTAACCTCCACACTGTAAGTTTCTCTACTGTCCAACCATGTTTCTTTTCTGCTCAGTCTGTCTAACATATATGTGTATGTGTGTGTATATACTTGTACATATATGTATATATGTGTGTATATATGTATATATATGCATATATATATACATATATATGCATTCAACAAGAAATATATATTTTTAGTTGAAGAAAATATGCAGGACTTGGAAAGACCGAGAAGCCAGACTGGACTGGAAACTGAAAGAGGTGGGGAGGGCTGAGGTGGAGTGCTGTATGTACTGCTGGAACAGCAGTTAGTTAGTGGTTTCCTCCTGTGCTTCCTCTTCTGAGAGCTCTCTCCTCCCCGGGGGGTGGGGTGGGGGTGGGGGGTGGCTTATCTCTCTCCTCCCCTGAAAGGCAGAATATACTTGGCGTTTGGGCTTTTGAATTACAGCACTGTGGCTGTAGACTGACTCATGCGTGATTCCCGTCTAAGTTCTAAGTGTGATTCCATTCTGCTGACCCTTGAGATCTGCACCGGGAGGCTCTTCCCACTGATAAGAAAGATGGCTTCAGTGAAGCCTTACTTCCCAGATGCCTCCCTTTTCCCCTCTGGTCAGCGACCATCAGGGAATCTGCTCACAGTGAGATCTCTCTGGGAGAAGCTTTAGACTCAAACAGGTTTGGCTGCCTCAGTCACAGCTGCTCTGATCATCGGTAGGGACTGGGGCTGCCTGGATGGTTACACACAAACTCATTATCTTGCCTTTCCTTTTTAGGCTGCTCTCTCCTGGGACCACCCAGCGATGCTCCTGGATTTGAAGCCAGGACTGCATCAGGAAAATTTATTCTCCCATCTTATTTCCTACTCCTCTTTCTCCAGCTCTTCTTTTCCTCTGCCGGCCTCTCTTCCTGCGTCTGATCCCTTCCTCTTCTTGGTAAACCAGTCCCTAATCTCTTCACACCCCAGATTGGAAGGTGTGTCCCTCCCTGCCACTCCCCAGAGCTGTCACCAATAACTTCTTCCAGGTTTCCATAACTCCATTGCTCAGTAATTTGCCAAGGGTAACCATTAACCCGGCCCTTAGCCCTGCTCCCCTTTGGAGAGGATTTTCCAGTCGCTGGTCAGCAGAGCCAGGTCACCTCACACCATCTCTGAACGATCTTCTTATTCACGTGGATAGGACAGTTTTTGAATTATGGTGTGCGTGTGTGTGCGTGCGTGTGTGTGTGTGGGGGGGGCGTGTGTGTTTACAAGCAGCACAGGTGTGGAGGACAGAGGACAATCTGGGAGTCAGTGTTTTCCTTCTACCGTGTGAGTCCTGGGGATAAAATTGAAGATACTTTTACCTGCTGAGTCAGCCCTGAATTTATTTTGTTTTGTAAAGTATGCTTTTTTCCCTCCCTCAGAAATTCCTTCCTTCTCTTTCTTTCCCATATCAATCAGAGATACCCTGTGTCCTTAGAGGGCTGTAGTATGGTTGTATGTGCTCTAATTAGGTCTACTTTCAGAATTTATTGTCTTTCAGATACTTTTTTGTTTTGTTTTTTTGTTTTTCGAGACAGGGTTTCTCTGTGTAGTCCTGGCTGTCCTGGAACTCACTCTGTAGACCAGGCTGGCCTCGAACTCAGAAATCCGCCTGCCTCTGCCTCCCAAGTGCTGGGATTAAAGACGTGCACCACCACCGCCCGGTGTCTTTCGATACTTATACTTCCTCCTCAAGTGTCCCAAAATACTGAAGCCCCGTATTGCTCTTGTGAGGGTGGTCATCCCCTGCAATCAGGAAACAGGCAAAGCGGGGCTGAAACAGGAGTTGGTTCTTACTTCCACTTATTTCTTTAAAACACTCATGTAGGCTTACTTTGTTTGCTGGACACCGTTCTGAGTCCTTTATAAATATTAACTTAGTGGGTACAAATATTAACCGAGCTGTTGCTGTTGGCACAGGTTGAATTTAATGTTGCTTCTCTCCACTCTTCAGGAAGGAGGAAGAATGCCTCTGGCCCTTTAAGGTCGGCCTTCCCGCGCTGGCCGTCTCTACTGCCCGGACCCTTTTTCCGGGCGGGGACCTTAGCTCGCCTGGCGACCTTCGGGCGGGCTCCGCCTAGCATCAATCAAAGCTCAGAGACAGGGCTGCTTAGCAACGGCAGAGGGCGGGAATTTTGAACACTCTAGCACCGCCCCCAGTGCAAACGGACCAATCAGCACTTAGAGCCCTCACCGCCTTCCCGTTGGATAGCAAGGCAGACCCCTCCAGCCAATAGCGACTAAGAGGGCGGGGCGAGCACGCGCGGCCCACGCCCACTGGCTGGCTGGCCCTGCCCACAGGCTCGCGGCGGTTGGTCAGGGAGGCGGATCGTCGCGGCTGAGGTGACGGAAAAGGCGGGAAAGTGCCGCGCGCTGGCCGCCGCGGTGGGGTGGGGACCCGAGAGCGCGCGGCGGCTGTAGGGGTGTGGGTGGCGGGAGAGACTTGAGGTGACGGCGCGCTCCTTCAGAGCTGGCAGAGCACGGCCTCGAGTGACAGAGATGAGGGTGGGACAGGAGCACGGAGATGCTCACCACCTAAAGGCTCGCCCTCCCTCCATGTGCCCCCCGCGCCGCCCGCCCAGCCGAAACGCTGACCCTCCTTCCCCTCCCATGTCCTCAGAGTCGCCGAGCCCATGGCTTTTAGAGCGACCCCAGGCAGGATGCCGCCAGGACCCGGGCCCGGGGTCCCCTCAGCCAGTTTCTCCAGCCCCCAGCCTCCAGTGGCGGGGCCTGGAGGGATCGAGGAAGAGGACGAGGAGGAGGAGCCGGCCGAGGTGTCCGAGGAGTGGGGAGGACGGGGAGGGGCTGAGCCGACCCTTGTTCCACGTTGACTAAACGCCCCACGCGTGCCTATCTCCGAGATTTGGGTTAAAAGATTAATAATAATGCACGGCCAAACCGTACCCTCCCGAGGGGTTCAGATATCGATCCCTTTCCTTCCTCGTGGGGCAGATCCATCTGTGCGTGCTGTGGAGCTCGGGATATCTAGGCATTGCTTACTATGACACTAGTGACTCCACCATCCACTTCATGCCAGACGCCCCAGACCACGAGAGCCTGAAGCTGCTCCAGAGAGGTGGGACAGAACCCTGGATCGCTCTCCTCCGGGGTGGGAAGTGTGTTCACTCGTCCATCCTTATGTGACGTGTATAGTCCTGTTTCTAGGAATCGATTGTTCAACACAACTTTATTAGGTACCCGCTGTGTGTTACATGCGACAGATTCAGTCACAGGCAAACGATTCATGACTGTAGTTATAGTTTCCAGGACACGCTTCTTCCTTCCCACCCCACTGACTTCTAAGTCTCATTCTCCACTGTGCGCCCAGTGTGCAGAACATCCCCAACAGACAGAAAATAAATTAGGTTTTTTTTTTTTGAGATGTAGCTCTGGTTATCCTGAAACCCACTATGTAGCCCAGGCTGACTTTGAACTCACAGAGATTCGCCTGCCTCCCAAGGGCCACTGGGATCAAAGGCATTGCGCCACCACGCCTGGTTAAGATAAATGCCTGGTTAAGATAAATTCTCGAGGGGAACAGAGTGGCAGGAAGAGAGCCTCCGCTTCCCTCTTAGTCAAAGTGGAGAGATCCTCTGACTCATTTAGCACCTTCCTTCTCTTTTCAAGTTCTGGATGAAGTCAACCCCCAGTCTGTTGTTACAAGCGCCAAACAGGATGAGGCTATGACTCGATTTCTAGGGAAGCTCGGTAAGGGTTTCATAGAGAAGGGGAAACGGAAACAGACTACTAAACCGTGTAGTACCGGGAGGGAGAATGGGACGATAACAGGACAAACTGTACAAGACTGTGGCCTTTTGCCTCCACAGCCTCCCAGGAGCACGGAGAGCCAAAGAGACCTGAAATCATACTTCTGCCAAGTGTGGATTTTGGTAACTCCTTCCTTTTTTTATGTTACCAGCCCCCATCCCAGGGGCTCTGTCCTTTCTCTGAAAGGAGCTCCTGTTATCAGAGACCTTGCTTCGTGTCCCTCATCTAAAAACTGCTTCCCAAGCCCCATCGGGAGTCTCCCCGAGATCTCTCCTGCACCTTACCATCCTTATACAAGTTACTGAGAAGCCATCGGGTTAGGTGTGTTAGGAATGGGGCAGTGAGTGATGGGAGAAAGTGGAGAGATGCCACTCTTAACACAGTTTTGAATGTTGGAGTTTCCCACTTTAGGCCAAAGTCGTTTGCTGCATAAAAAGGAAAAGGCACTGTTTCTGGGAACTATGGTCCATAAGGCACTTCCTACTTTGTAAACTTCCAGGTTTGCAAAAAATGGACAGGGAATGGGTGGTAGTAGTTCCTTTATCTCATATGTGTGTGTGTGTGTATTAATAACATTAATAATATATGTGTATATATTAACCTAGAAGATCCACAATCCCAGACATTTTTTCATATTTTTCTCCCGAGTCCCTTGTCTTTCTCAGGTAGAGCTTATAGCCAGACATCTACATTACATAACTAAAAGAATGAGACTACATCTGTGTTTTGGTTCTTGCTTTGACTTTCCTTAACCACCTCTGTGGACTTGGGCAAGCCATGTGGTCGGATTTGTTCTTGTTGTTAAATTGGGGCAGGAAGATGGAGCTACTATACCTTTTGCTCCCCATCCTCCCCAAATAGGTCCAGAGATAAGCAAACAGCGTCTCCTTTCCGGAAACTACACCTTCATCTCAGAGTCCATGACTGCTACTGAGAAAATCCTTTTCCTCTCCTCCATTATTCCCTTTGACTGTGTCCTCACGGTGAGCTAGATCGTGGGCTGGGGTGCAGCTGGGGAAAGGCATGAGCTCCCAGGCACAGGGCAGAGTTGTGACCAGACCGCCCCAGCCCTATACAATCAGATTTCCTGGTATTAGTGTTGTCCAGCCTCACTGTGGATCCCCTCCAGGTCCGGGCACTTGGAGGACTGCTAAAGTTCCTGAGCCGAAGAAGGATCGGGGTTGAACTGGAAGACTACAGTGTCGGCGTCCCTATCCTGGGCTTTAAGAAGTTTGTACTGTAGGTGATTCATCCAAACCTCAACCAAAGTAGAGAGGACTGGGAGGTCTAAGAAGAAAGAGTGTGTGTGTGTCTGTGTGTATCTGTGTGTGTCTCTGTGTCTCTGTGTGTATCTCTCCGTGTGTGTCTCTGTGTGTGTCTGTGTGTGTGTGTCTCTGTGTGTCTGTAGGGATGGGGGACAGTAGGTGAAGTGTGCTCTGGCACAGGAGAACCAGAGGTGTTGGATTGCTCAGAGAGAAGTATTCAGAGAGGGGAGCTGAGGGGGTAGTTTACTAATGACCCCGTGCCTCAGACACCGTTCCTGTGGCTCTTTTCTGTTCTCAGGACCCATCTGGTGAGCATAGATCAAGACACTTACAGGTGAGGGACAAGCTGCTGCCCGCAGAGACAAAGGACTGAGTTTGAGGCTCTAATAATCTTACCAAGGCTGAGGCTTCTTTGATCCTGGGCTTGAAGGAAAAAAGGGGAGATTGTGAAGCTGAGGGTGAAAGAAAGGAAGGGGTAAATAAAGCACAGAGGAGTCACCCTCCTTCCGCTGGCAACACTGGATGAACTGAGGGACCGGGACCAGTGCCCGCTAGGCAAGCACCCTGCTCTAAGCGGCAACTTCAGTCCACCCTTTCCTTTCATTCCTTTCTTTCTTTTATTTTCTTTTCTCTCTCTCTCTCTCTCTCTCTCTCTCTCTCTCTCTCTCTCTCTCTCTCT